AGGTCGTAGTTGTAAGTTGTACAATAAATTCGTTATATTTACAACTCGGCGTTTCTATGGTCCTTCGAGTTATATATGTGGTACAATTGTACTAAAAGTTCGAATTAATAATTTGAATATTTCCAACGTAAAAGACATTGGTCCTTCGAGCCGGATATTGTTTGAATCCGCAGTGCTCGAAAAGAGTTCTTTTAATCAACAATTTCTTCAATCCGAATCCATTTTGGGGATAAAGCAGTGCCACAATAGGAAAGAGTTGAGGTGCGTGTACATTCAGTCTTAGGACTGACGACCTTATGATGACGATGACTTAGGTAGCACATGTTATCTATATTTCTATATTGTAGTGACATGTGTCAAAAGATTCATGTGATATGCCAATAAGTGATATCGCTCTTTTTGTTGTTTATCCCGAAAATGACAGGCAATTTGAAATTGGATATGAAGCAGCTCAAGGAGTTTTTGGAATTTTTCAACAGTGTTAACGAAAAATGCTTCTTCGCATGTATTGTAAACAACTACTCAAGGCCCCTCGATGACGTCGAAAAAGCATGTACTGACAACTGCGCAGTCAAAATGATCACCGTCAATCAAAGGTTGATGAATCTTTACATCACTAATAGAAGAGACAAAGACAACTCTTCGTAAAGAATGGCATCGATATATTTTAATTTATTTTAGCGTTTCAATTTAAAATATTTGTGTATTTATTACTGAATGCATGTCTTATTGTTAGTGTTTAGACGAATCTCTATATGGATGATAATTATCCTTGCTTGTTATTATATATAAATCTGATGATGATGAATAAAATTTCTATTACATGTATACATATATCTACTTAGAGATTGTTATATAAATGCTTGATGATTACTGCACCAAATGAGATTAAAAAATATCCAGAAAAAATTAGATGTGCAGGTTATCCGTAGATACATGGAGTGTAGGATTTATGGCGAATATGAAATCGTGGAATCAACATTTTGCAACATTTGATTGTAACATTTTAGAATTAAGGAAATCAAATGAACAGATTAAAAACCATATGTATAGTTCATCATCATCATAAAGTCATCGGGCCTAAGACTGGTTGGACACCCACCTCCACTCCTTCATATCCTACGCTAATCTGCGCGTTTCCCCAAAAGTAGAACAATCCACATCCTTAACTATTTGCGAACAGTAATCTAACCTAGGTCTACCTCTATCCCT